TGGGTCCAGGAGTAGGATTTTGATGATCCTTGTGGGTCCCTTCCAACTCAGGATATTCTGTGAGTTAGATAGAAGATGGCAGTGCTGGGCTTCCTGGTGCTCAGGACATGGAGGTATGGAATGGTTCAAGTGACAGACTGAGAAAGTGGGCTGACCTGTCAGTGCAATACTGTGAATCAAGGGTTAAGCTGGGAGATACTCCTGCTTTGTCTGTAGTTCTTCCAAGCACTGTTTGTATGGGGAACAGTAACAGGAGCACTTATCTGTTCAGAGCTGGTATCTCTATCATTTTTCTCTGATGTGCAGGGCAGAGCTGACACAATGCATGGACAGTCCCCCAAGTCTGCATAACCTTGAAGCAGAGATCACTGCTACATGTGTGTGTTTGTTTGCAGTTTGTTCCTTACCTGGAAGAAAAGCATGAAGGCAAAGGGTGGCAAGAGTGACTTGCCAGTTAGTGTGTCCTTAGCATGCAGGGTTTTCCTCAAGTAACTCCCTGTGCCCAGCTTGGATGACACGTTTTCACCTGGTCCAGCTTTCAAGGTCTATTCTCTCTTGGTTTCTGCTCTCCTTGTCCTCTTGCATGTGGTTTATTTTGCATTCTTTCCTGTCATGCTTTTCACAATGCCTGCTTCCTGTCCTCTCCCTTCTCAGGAAGCTGTTCACTGTTACCTTAGGTTTTTCTCTTTGCAAACTGTCATTTTGCATCTAAGGAACCTGCTGTTCCAAGCAGTCCTTCCTTCTACTACTAAAAACAGATACCCACCCCCCCAAACTTCATTGTCCTTACCAGAGAAATATCTCCACTTCCTATATAATGTAATAGCACCTGAGATAATATCGGTGGGTAATTATTCATCCTGTAAATACTTCTTAACCACCCAGCAGCCTTTTACAAATCTGGGCTCCTCTCAGAAAACAAGTCTGTTACAAAGTTTGCTTTGCATAATTGCAAAGCAAACTTTGAGAAGAGAGCTAAAAGCATACTGGGAATAGGAATATGACACATTCCTAGTCACTGTTGCACTAGCACTGATGTAAACTGCCCCATAATTAGTCATGGCACATTTACATTTGAAGCCCTCACTTAAAACTGTATTTGAATGAGGAACATGAGCAGAAACGGTGCTGATCATCTTTTCATCATGGTAAAATGACTGTTTCTGTAACAGCTGGCATTCTGTACTTCTGTGATCTAGGCTATGTAGTCACCCTTAAAATGAATCCTGGCTATGAAATAGAATAGGGAACACAAGCTAAGGCTTGGCTAAGAATAATTTGTTATGTAATTAGTACAATGATAAGAATATATCAAAACCTGTACTCTCTCAAGCATGGCAGGCATAGGGATTCTTCTCATGTTTCCTTTCCAACATACTGGTTTCAACTGCTTGTATCTTTCAGAATTTTTCACATTTTTCATTTGTTTGAAAGCAGCTGTTTTATTTCTAGGAAGTCTGTTGGGGAGAGAGAAGAATCAGACTGCATTTACAATGGTGACAGCACTTCAGAAAATAAAATCGATAGCTCAAAGACATGTACTGATTTTGGAGAAAGTCCTTGATAAATTGGAGATGCAAAAAAAAAAAAAAAAAAAAAAAAAAAA